CTGCAAAGACCAAGAGACCCTTCAGGAAAAGAGGCCTGGTAACCATGTTTGCTCCCGTTCTCAGTCTGTATTTTTCTAGATTAAGCAGCACTCAAGTGGGACTAACTGACAGACTCATTCCTTGTGGACTCCTTGGGCATATTTGAGTTTTCTAGTGCCAGAACACACCAAAGATTAGGTGTTAGAATGGAAAGTGAGGTCTCTTCACTTCCTGATTACTTCCACAGGCATTCTTATTATCTTTAGTAAAACACACATACACACGTGCATGCACACACACACACACACACACACACACACAGAGCCTAAGAAAATTACTGAGCTCTTTATTTATACCTTATAATAATGTCCTGTCCTGGTACTGTATGCAGTATTGGTACTACCTTCACTGCTGAAGGCAGCCAGAAGGGAACTGGACCTTATGGCCTAAGAGCCCGCAAGGATAAAATTAGCCTGCAAGCATATGACTACCAGGAAAGTTTGGAGCTATCAGAACCAAGATATCAAGGGTTGTCATCAGGGAGTAACTCAAGCAATAACTCTTTCTTTTCTTTTTTTTTACTAGACACTTGATAGAAACTAGATCCTATGCTCCCAAATGTGAAATGGCAACCCATGAGGTTTTATATTCCAGTAATCACCAACCAGACTCGCTAGTACAAACATTTGAGTAAGTCGAGGGAGGGCTGGGGGGGGTAATCCATGCCCATAATGACCTTGTAAGGCAAAAGGAAGAAGGAAAGAAAGGAAGAAAGGAAGAAGGAAAGAAAGAAAGAAAGAAAGGAAGGAAGGAAGAAGGAAAGAAAGGAAGGAAGAAAGGAAGGAAGGAAGAAAGGAAGGAAGGAAGGAAGGAAGGAAGGAAGGAAGGAAGGAAGGAAGGAAGGAAGGAAGGAAGGAAGGAAGGAAGAAAGAGCCTAGATTTGAAAAGAAAACAGACATGTGTGTAATGGAGAGCAGGCCATGTCCTGTCCCCGGGGACAGCATTGGAAGTCTATGGAAGCTATCTGAGACTTCAAGCCTTCTCTTCTCCCCTCTTCTATGCAAATGAAAAACTATCTGTGGACATGCTGGCCTTCCATGAGTAATCTCTCAAAACCTAAAATAAGGGACTGGGAATGTGGCTTAGTGGTGCTTGCCTAGCATGTATGCGGTCCTGGTACCACATAAACAAAAACTTAATAAGTAAAACTAATTTAAAAAAAACTAAAATAAAATATGATCATGGTAATGTTAAGAGCTCCCAACCAGCCACTGAGCTTCAAATCCTAGGTTTATCAAAAGGACTTTTTATGTACAATGTTGAGGGAGAGAGTGATGGAGAGACCAAGGTGACTTGTGCTAATAAGCTGAGCACTCAGTTTCATCCTAAGGGCTGGGAGCCTGCAGAGCAAACTCCAAACCATGACCCCAGCTTTCACAGAAAGCCACCTTCCACATGTCTAAAATTTCACTGGGCTAATAGTCACAACTAGATCACTTTTTATCTATCTAGCAATGTCCACAAAACAAGCACCCTCCAGTACAGAAGATATTAAAATTTAATAATCATCTTCTTCATTTTAATTTTAATACTAATATTAATAGTATAATAGTGATATAATCATTGTTAATATAATCATTCAGAGCATAGAATTTTCACATTCGGGCCATCTTTTATTATTATTATTACTATTAATATATTATTCACTTTGAAATACACAGGTCTAGTTGTTTATCCACTTTAGCCATCATTTCCATGTATCTGAGTATTCTTAGATGTAGTCAGATCTTCAGGATTTGACATCATACTGGGTGTAGTTACTGGAAAAATAAAAATCCCTTGCTTATCCTCATTTGGAATTTAAAAGTTACATAACAGGTCTGTGGAGCATAAGCCCAAGCCAAATGCATTTATAAATTTTAAAAAATGCTTCCGAAACAGAAGAGTATTAATCTCTACAGTTAGCCAGGATTTGATGAGTAGCAATGAATGAGTGAATGAGGGACCTTGGCAGCAGCCACAATTCATGGCCCCCAGAGCTGAGGGCTCGCCTCCCCTTGTCATCTCAGTGACCTTGGCCAGAGCAAAGAACAACTGTTTATTGGGTATCATGGAAGACTTTGTATGTTGGAGGTAACACAAAGACAAATCTTAATACTTGGTTCTAGACCGCAAGAAGTTTATGAGGTGGCAGGCAAGAAAGACATACAATCATAGCTCACATCTGCCAGAATGAAGTGGAACCTGAACCCAGTGAGATCCTTGGGTAAGGAAAAGCCACTTCCTTCCTGAGGAGAAGAGAGTCTGGAGGGAGATTTTATGGGAAATTAGCATCTGAAATGAGCCTTAAAGAACAGCGAAATTTCTGACCAACAATTCTGGGGATAAAAGACCATTCTGGAGCAATGGAAGGAACGCTGAGGCTAGACATGGTAGCTCACATCTGTAATCTCAGTACTCAAGGGGCTGAGGCACGAGGATCTTGAGTTCAAGGTCATCCCTGGGCTGCCCCGTGTCTAAATAAATTAACACACTAAAGCTGGAATATGTGAACTTTCACTTCTAGTTCGCAGGCCACATTCCATCACTAGATGTCTTTAATGCAGACAAGGTCCCTTTGCTCCCCCACACCCCTTTTCAGACTCTCCCCATGGGGGCTGAGGCTAATTATGTTTGTAAGAGTTGCAAAAGAGATTCACCATTACCAAAGTAAGATGCATTTTCAAGAGAACCCAGAGTCAATGGGAGCGGAGTCGGGAAGCACCAGGCAGCATGGTGGTTTCATCTGTACCCCTGGAGTTGCCTTGGGTGGCACTGTGGGGAAGAGACTGAAAGGAAAGAAGCACAGAAAGTAGCCTGGAGTGGGCAGGGGGAGGTGGGGGGAGGAACCCAAGGGCAGAGACATACAAGACCTGTGGGAGGAAGACAATGGAGAAAGTCTGGGTCAAAACACCATTCATTCAGAAAAGAACTAGGAGAATCCATCATTAATTGAATCTGCGTAGCTCCAAGGTCAAGGGGATGATAGTGTTATTAAGACATGGAGGAAACATGCAGGAACGAGGCTGGGTGAGGAAGGTGAAATGCCATGCTCGCCGCACACAGAGATGTTTAGAAGTGTGTGCAGATGCGGGTGAGTAGCATAACTGGGGGAAAGGTGTTCCTAGCACCTCACAGGACAGCCTCCCCCAAATAAAGAAAGAGTCTGCACACCAATAGTGCAGAGATCAAAAAAAAAAAAAACAACCCAGGTCTCCACTTAGTAGAAAGCTCAGCTCTGGATATTGAGAAAGTAAGAGTGGATCAAGATGAGAACTTTCAATCACTCCTCTATCTGTGAGAGGTAGGAGAGATTGTTAAACACAGTGGAAGCAGGTGGAAAGGAAGGAGACATGGATGGCTCATGGAATTCCAGGCAACGCCGTATCGTTAACAATGGGGGCCCATTAGGGTAAGGCAATGTGAGAAGCACTTTCTCTTCCAAATGCAGTAATTTGAGAGCTGTTCTCAGCAAGTAAAAAAACTATGAAGATAGTAGACAGGAACGAGAATGGAAATCCAGGAGCAGCTCAGTTCAATTTTCAATAGACTGCTAGAATCTGGAGAAAGGGAAAATGTTATAAAAAAAAAAAAAGACTTAGCTGAAAAGAAGGAAGGAAAGAGGGAAAGGAAACCGAGGAGACATAGAAAATGATAAGACAAGAAAAATATGAAGAAGGGAAGGGAAGAGAAGAGAAGGGAACAGAAAATGGAGGAAGGAAAGGAATTCTCTAAATCTTGGCAGGATACAGGATGAATGAATTCTAGGGAACAAGTCTAGTGACCATTCTCAGTAAGTTTAGAAAACTGTGAGCTTGGAAGGTATTCTGTAGAAAGCCAATTGCTTCTGGAGCAGGACCCTCTATGTGACTCAGAAGCTAAATTAACACATGACAAAACTGTGACCAGCACCTTGACATTTATACTTAAATAAATGTTGCTGTGTCTCTGATCCCGGGAGCTTGACAGTAGTAATTACCCCCCTCCCCCCACTCCCAGACAAGGTAGACTCTGGAGAGGTTGCATAGCTCTCCAAAGTAAAGAACTGGGAAAAGATGCATTGGGAGAAACCTGCTGAACTTGGACCTCAGGACACAGAGGAGAGTTTGCAAGAAACAAGGCAGAGGTGGTCCTTTCCTATTAAATTGGGGGGGAAACCTGCAAAGATAAGGTGTACCCTGAAAGAGAAAAGCTACAGCAAGAGAACACAAAACATCACCGGCTTGGAGAGTGGGAGGAAGTAGTATCCAAAACAACAGGAAATTCAGTGTGCCAGAGCCAGACAGAGCTTGGATTCAAAGCGCAGCTCACTATCACCTTGCTCACTCGCTTGCTCACTCATTCTCCCTTCTGTACGTAATGGAAGACTGGGGTTCCTTTTCTGGCAACATGCCCACAAGGTTCCTAGGAAAGCCAAGGAGATTAAGTGAGAGAACATTTGCGAGGCACATAGAGCTCCTGGCACAGGGTAGTAATCAGGCTTAAATTCTGTTACTCTAGGCAATGCCTGACCAATGAGAAACAGTAGGACTCAACATTCCAAGACAGCCCGAGTAGGATATATTAAAGAAAGTAATGCATTTGCAAACTGAAATGAATTCCTAGAATTGAAAGCGACCTTCAGAACTCTCTAGTCAAATATCCTTATTTTACTGATGGAAAAAAATTGGAGAGGAAAATTGTGATTTGGATGCATGTACACCAAAAAAAAAGGTTTTAATTAAAAGGAGGTTATTCATCATTTTTTATGTAATGATAGAGGAAGGCAGAGTTAGACAAGGACAGCTTATCATCATGTGTGCATCAGCTAACATTAGTGTTCTGTGAACCTTGCACAACTGGTTCCAAGGAATTCACCTGAATCAGTAAGCATACCTAAATCAACTCTTAGATGGTTCACAGGCCAAAGAGTAAAATAGCTTTGGGGGTAAACCAACGACAGTAAAGTATGCGCTTTCGCAAGCTGCATCAGAGCACTTACCTGTCCAAGAGCAAGTTAGGAGCAAACAGGAGCTTCCCTGGGTGCTCCATGGAGCGCCAGACTAGGCCGATCATCAGAATCTCTAGCCAGGCACACTCCAGAAGATGGACCTGGTCGTGAAGGTTCAAATCCCCAAAGCCTGCAATACAACAAGGAAAACTGAGCTGAGGTGCAGCACAAGCTATTCACCACAGATGCCATCAGGGCATACCGGATTGGAACTAGTAGGGTCCATTTTCTATCAGCTACAACGGAGTGTAATAAAAGCCCACTTTACAGCAATGTCAAGTAACTGTGTTTTAAAATCTACCTGTTTTCATGCATTTCGATGCACTTTAAGCTTCTTAGTGCCTTAGCACAACATTTGCAGAAATCCACCAACTGACGCAACCTGCTTAGCTTTCTCTAAAGAGTCATACTTAGTGAATTCTCTTCAGACATTTCTGCTAGCCTTGGGTGTCTGCTATGATCATTTTTGCCTAGTTGAAGACATTGAAGTGCTAGAAATTTAGCCTTAAACCAAAGAGAAGCTGGAACACAATCGTGTGAAAGTCACTAAACTTGTATTTTCTTTGCTTTCTCACTAAAAAAACCAAAAAGCTATAGCTCTTTTTATAACCAGTTTAAAAAAAAGACTAATAAAATAGCACATGCAAATTCATCACTTGGGGAAAGAGTCAGATAAATAATGGTTACTACTGGTAAAATCCACCCAAATGTGCTCTTGCTTTCTAATGTCTGGACAGCTTAGAGCTCTTGACAATAGGGTACATGCTTGATGATGATGATGATGATGATGAGTAGGGAGAAAGGAAGAAGAAAGACACAAAGGAGAAAGGGAGAGGGGAAGGAGATGGTGAGAAGATGAGTTTATTGAGCCTCTTACCATGGGCAGCAAGCAATGGTGAATGTTTTCTTATTCAATTATTTTCATCTTTATTAATATAATAAACTGAACAGATAGAAAGTAATATCCCTATTTCACAAATACTCAGAGAGTTTATCTGCTAAAGTCAGAGATGGGAATATAATAATTCTTCTGAGCTTAATTCATCCATAAATTTAGGATCATGTGACTAAATAAATCCAACTGCACAGATAAAGATATGCCAGAGTAACTGAGACATTAAATAAACCAAGTGTCCACCAAGCATGCTGCTTCCCAAATCAGCCCCTGTTCTTTAACATGGAGAAACGCAGTCCTCTCTCTCTCCTCTCTCTCTCTCTCTCTCTCTCTCTCTCTGTCTTCCCCCTTAAATCTTCTGACCCACTGCATGGCTATTGAAAATGAAGTCAAAAAATTCAATGCATATCCTACAAAATTAAGAAAATTGGAGGGAAAAGTAGAATTGAGAGGAACAAGGAAGAATGATAAAAGGGGTGACATTGATTAAGATGCATTGTATCCATAAACTGCTTTGTTGAATGACAACTCCTTTGTACAATTACAGAAAGAAAGGAAGGAAAAGAAAGAGAGAAAGAAAAGGAAAGAAAGAAGGAAGGAAGGAAGGAGGGATGGAGGGAGGGAGGGAGGGAAGAAAGAAGGAAAGGACGGAGGGAGGGAGGGAAGGAGAGGGAGGGAGGAAGGAAGGAACGAACGAAGGAAGCAAAGACGGATAGCAGACTATTGACATCAGTTTTTTGCTCTCTTCTTTGTCTTGATATCATTATACTTCTATCAGCAATTTATTTCTTGTGTGAATTCAAGTCGAAACGTAAGCTTATTCCTTTCTCAGTCTATGACCCTCACTCATCACCAGTTCATGCCCAACCCACATCAGTTCTCCCTTTGGAATAATGCAAGGTCTCCTTCCCTTTTCTACTTCCACTGTTAACCTACAACCTCGATAAGTAAATCTTTTGACAGATTTCATAAATCAAGACTTATTGGTGTTGTTGTACGTGTGATGAGTTGATTCTATTACAGACTAATATTCCATTATACGAATATACCCAAGGAAGTGTAATCCCTTTATCCTTTTATTAGACATATGAGTTGTTATGAGCAGTTGATGTGTCCAGTGCTGTATAAATAACAATAGATATAATGGTTTTCAAACATGCTTGTGCTGGGGCTGGAGGCATGGCTCAGGGAGTACAGCCTATGAGCACAAGTGCCAAACCCTGAATTTGAGTTGCTGTACTAGGAAAAGAAAAAGTGCTTGTGTCACTTTACATACCTACGACCAACACATATGCCGCTACACAATTTTACTAACACTTTCTATTTTTTACATTTTAGACATTCTAATCCAGATACAGATATAATCCACTGATGCTGTGATTGTGTGAGTGTGTGTATGTGTGTGTGTGTGTGTATGTATGCGTGCACGTGCGCACACGCGCTGGTACTGGGGGCTTGAACCCAGGACCTAGGCACCATCCTTTACCTTTCTTTATTCAAGGATATTGCTCTACCACTTGATCCATGGCTTCACTTCTGGCCTTTGGGCTGTAAACTGGAGATAAAAGTTTCAGAGTTTTCTTTTTTTTGTTGTTTTTGGGTCCGGTCGTGGGGCCTGAACTCTGGGCCTGGGCACTGTCCCTCAGCTCTTCAGCTCAAGGCTAGCACTCTACCACTTGAGCCACAGCGCCACTTCTGGCTTTTTTCTTTTTGCTTATGTGGTGCTGAGGAATCGAACCCAGGGCCTCATGCATGCAAGGCAAGCACTCTACCGCTGAGCCACCTTCCCAACCCAGTCTCAGAGTTTTCTACGTAGGTTGGCTTTGAACTTTAATCCTCTCCTCTCAGCCTCCTGAGAAGCTAGGATTACAGGCATGAGCCACTAGCACCCTCTGATGATATGGTTGTAATTTGCATTCTCCTAACGATTGCTCATGTGGACCATCTTTCCAGGTGTTTTCTATGTAGCACTCTGGTACACAGTATTCAAGTTAATGATGCATGCATCTGTAAGACTGTGTACTCATTACAGGTGCACAATGCATGGTTCTATCAAATCCTGCATTTTTGGAGCTCAGATTCACTCCCGTCTCCACCGTATCCCTGAGGACTCAGGATGGCCTTGCCCGGATCAGAGCTGGTGCGTACCATGCCTTTGGAAAGCATAGATCCCAATCATGACCCAAGAGCGGCACCTGCATCGGGGAGGAAGTGAGTAGCTCTGTTCCTCAGAAGATCTCCAAGACTGACCAGCAATGATCCGGTTTCAGACCTGCCTGGAGGCCAAGGGAGCAGGTAGCTTCACCACAGGCAGTTGGTCAAAAGCTGGCCCAGCTCCAGGAGAAACAGAGGCAGGCTCCACTGAAGGCATCTTACTCACTGTCTAATAGGTAACACAATCCCAAGAAGCATACTATGAAATGAAAGTCCCCAGGGAAGTGTTAGCTCCCAACAGTTCATCTCTCACTTTGGAATGAAGGCTGCAAATTGTATGTAAATTATCCTGTAAATGAAATGCACTATCAGAAATGTTAACATTCCACCGTGAGGTTTACTTTTTTTTCCTCTCTCTTCTGAAGACATTTCATTGTTTGTATATACCAAAAAAAAAACATAATCACATGATCGTGTCATCTGTGATGAAACTTTCACTGGCTTTTTCAATCCCCTCCATTGGTTTTCAAAATTACACAGGATGGGATGGGGTGGGGTGGGGGTGGGGTGTCACAATTCCAAACCTTGTGGGTCGCCATGTACGCTAATCAACTATGGGAAACCGAAAGGCAGTGACTTTATGTTTACCCAGAATCATACTCTTAATCCTCATTTTCAATTTTCACTGTTCTTTAGCTGTGACAGTTTTAATGGTCTTTTAGGAGGCAAATAAGTTCCCAATAACCATTTTTACTATTGTTAAGTACGGTGAAATAAATGTGTCAGGAAATTCTGACGGTAGTATTTTCTGTCAGCGGCTAGCAAGATTGTTCAGTCTTTCTGTGAAATGATGTAGATCTCACAAACATAAATTTCCCATTATCTGTCCCAGCTCTGCCTGTTCCCTGCAGATGAGAGTCCTTAGGTCAGCTGTCCCGTGGCCTCTGTGTGCTCCTGGCACAGGATTGGTGGGGACTATACTGAGAAGACTGTCAATCAACCTTCTCCACGAATGGGAAGACCATGGGCAGTCACGAGATGGGAAATCTCCTTTCTCTCAATAATGGTCTTGATGTTGTTTTAATCACATAGGAGATAAATAGACTTCTTTTTAACATTCTTATTGTAAAGGTGATGGATAGAAGGGTTACAGTTACATACTTTAAGTAATGAGTGCATTTCTTTTTGGACAATGTCACTTTCCCTCACTCTCTCCCAGTTTTTTTCCTCCTATCCCCACTCACAAGTTGTATAGTTTGTTTTCAACATAGTGTTAGTGAGTGCCACTGCTGCATTTGTCCACCCTTTGTCCCTCCATTTCTCTACTCCCTTTACCTTCCTATAGACAGATAAATGAAACAAGACAAAAAGAAGGCAAAACAACAACAGCAACAACGAAAAACCCAGCAACTCCATTTCCTGGAGTTCATTTCAATAAATACCTTAGGAACACAAAGATACAACACCTATGTACATCTGATCATATAAAATTATACTTACCTAAATACACTTTGGTTATGGACCAAATGCCCACGAGTATTTTCAGTTCACAGCCAATGAACTAGGAACAAAAGAATAGTGAGCCAACTACTTGCAGATATGTGGTTCTGTTTTTTTTTTTAACCTTATTTTCCTGAGAACACAAAGAATGTTCCGACTCGCAATTGCACATGGTCTACTCTGATAGCCATTTAAAATACATCCCATTTTTTGTCAGTGTCTCATCAAGATGAAGAAGGGAGCCCTGTAATTGCTTTGGGACATGAGTTGGTGATACTTGTGACCAAGATTTGCCCAGGTGGCACAATGACACATCCCTCCATTGCTTGAAGACCCACACCTTAGTGACAGCGATGACGGGACTGCGTGTGAACTCCTCACCAGGGGTAAGAGGCAATGCCTACAATGCACCAACTGGACTCTATTGAGGTCAGCCTAAATCAGAAGCTCAAAAACACCACTTTAGGAAACAAAACATTTTAGACCTTTCTCCCTGTTCTACCTCCGCAGGTATAAGAATCGAGTCCACAGAGCGCAAATACACTGGAAATGGGCAGAGGTGCCTCTAGACCTCCCCCCGG